GTTGAAAAAAAAATACAAATATTAGATGAAAATCTTAAACTTAAAATCTTAAAGAAATGCTACCTTGGCAACTAACTAAACTAAAATAAAAATAAATAATAATAATTCAAAGGTAATTAGAAATATATATAAAAAAATTATAATAAAAATGACAAAAGCACATAACAATATTACTGCTGTTTCTCTGGATCAATCTAGAACATTTTGTTTGAAAAATAATTGCATTGCATCAATGTACGGATTGATCCAGGTGGATCATTGTTCTTGCACCACATGACTTTTTTTTTTTCTAAATACATGTGAGGCAATGTTTACATTTGTAGGTTTCAGTCAAACATTCAGATCACTACTTTTAGATAATCATATTTTGTGCACCCACAGGAAGTTTGGGGTTGCATTTGTGCATGTGTGTGGGGGTGGAGGTGTGTTTTAAACCCGAAAGATGCAAGCAAACTGACACACTATTTTCAAGAGCAACAAGCGTAATGTAGATTTAATTATAGAAAGGTGTGCAGTTATTATGTTTATATCAGGTTCTGTTATGATGATATTTTTTATAGAAGAATAACCAAGGACTGTTTTGACCAAACAAACCATAAATTTGTTTTTATTTCAGTGATGAAGTTTCAATGTGGTATTAACTAATGTCAAAGATATACAAGCATCATTATTTATATTTATTATATATATTTTTTAAAGCTCCGCTCTAAATTTACTGGCACTCTAAGTTGCATGTTGCATATTGTAAATATAGTAAGGACTAGGAGTATTTGATTTCCCTTATGAAGCCATGTGCCTTTCTCTGAGCATTGTTTGTACAATAGCATCAACACCTTTAAATATCTGTTCAAGCACTGTTTAAAGAGACTGTGACATGAGATGAAACCAATATTTTATAACCAGTTAAATCCAAAGTGCATATAAATTCATAATGCCACATGCTCACATCCCCTTCACTGTCGGTGTCAGTCAGCGTGTGCAGGGTTTAAGACCACATTTGAGGGAGTTTCCCTTTTAACACAGATCAATATTTGCACGCCTTGACCTTTATGGGAGGAACAATCAATAATGAATAAAATTAATTTCTGTCGCTGTTATAAAGTGAGGCCATTTAGACTTCAGCAAACTAACAATCTAAAAGAGGTCAGCAATTTTTAATGCATGAAGGATGAGTCATTAACTTTTTTTTTTTTTTTTTTTACATTTTAATCTATCTTTGGCTAATTTTATTGAATTCTCTACTGGGATTATATTAGATAATTATATTATTATTATTAGTAGTAGTAGTATTAGTATAGCTCATAATATTTAGTTTGACAATACTGTAAGTACCATCAACAGACTGTGCCTGTGGAAGTGACTTCCGTGCATATCATGATATACGTCTGTTGGTTTTCAAGCTGCTTATGGAGAAAAACGGCCTTGAAGTTGGTCAGAGCTGCTCTTCCAGTCACCGCTGGAGCAAATTGTCCCTGTCCTGCCCTAGACATCATCTTTACTGCTGACAAACTGCCTTCTGAGCCAGGGCAGCGTGCTAAACAGTCACGTCTCATTCACACCTGCGCATAAACATAAGTGCTCATGTTCACCAGTACATATAAAAATCTATACAAAATAATGCCAGCTGGTAGACTGCATAATTCAAATTTTTTGTTTTGCATGATGAAACACACAGTAATGTCAGACACACAAGCAGCCACATTCACACTGACATTCTCTGACATTCAGACTCCTTTTTCACTCTTTGCACCCTTATGACATTCAGGATTTGGCTGTAAGATGCAGCAATTTTTATACAAAAGGGATGATGTACCCTTGATTACTTCCATAACAAATGCATGCCTGTTCACCCTTTAGCCTTATGCTACACTCCTAATCCACTGAAATTCTTAATAAACTTGAACATTAATCATTTTCAGAGTGCTGATTGTATGTATGTAGTTTTAAGTTTTTGTGCTTGTGTGTGTGTGTGTGTGTGTGTGTGTGTGTATATATATATATATATATATATATATATATAGAGAGAGAGAGAGAGAGAGAGTGTATATGTATCCTGATGTTAATGTTTTGAGATTGCACATGATTTGAAATGATCCATAGCTCATCTTTGTGCAAAGGGCAATGTCCAAATGCACCGTTTGTACAAGATCAATATCTCAGATTTGCTTGCATTTAATTAGTGAACTAGAAATCATGCAAAATATTCTTATATACATTCTCATAGTTAGCATTAAAGTTGTCAAGCTGTGCCTTTACTATATTTCAGTAAAGCTGTGCCTGTGACTATATTTCACATTTCTTTGTAATCAACGTAATGCTTTAAGAACCAACAGCTCCATGTGGTGCCTTTCGTGAGGTTTTTTATAACCTGGGTCCCTTATGATTCTTTCACAGCCCTGCCATGCTATCTGCTGCTACAAAGCTGTGAAAGTAGATTTGTGCCTTGTAGACCCTAGAGGCATGTAGACCCGTCATTGGAAAAAGCCAGTCAAAGGGGTGGTTCAGTGGTTTTTTTCTAGGTTTGATTGTGTTATGGGGTGCAGTCTAACATGTGTTAATGCTTCGTTTTTAAAAAAACGCATTATTTTTCACATAATTTACTTTTATTCCACACCGCTCTGTCCCTTCTCTGGGAAACACGCTGATCATTTCCTTCTTTTATAAAGCCCCTCCCTCAGAAATAGGCGTGATTGGTTAGCTAGTGTGTTGTGATTGGCTAAACTGCTAAACGTCTAAACGTCATGCCCTTCACCTCAGCGGCATGTGCTCCGGTTGTATTGTAAACAAGGCGTTGTTAATATCGCTTATCAGTTTGAGCCCGATTGAGAAGCAGATGATATTATCGAAGAGGATCGTGCAGAACCTGTGCGAGCACGGCTTTTAATGGTAGGCCTATGTTTTATGTTTGTTGTTGTCTCATACTTTTAGATACGCTGTTATTTGTAAATGCTACTGCTTATGTTAGCTTTTAATGTAAGAGAGAGAGAGAGAGAGAGAGAGAGAGAGAGAGATGCAGAGTGTGTGCAGAGCAGGGGAACGTGCAGTATTAAGAACTGCTGCTTTAGAACATTGATTTTAAAACTTGTTGCATTATTTTTCACATAATTTACTTTTATTCCACACCGCTCTGTCCCTTCTCTGGGAAACACGCTGATCATTTCCTTCTTTTATAAAGCCCCTCCCTCAGAAATAGGCGTGATTGGTTAGCTAGTGTGTTGTGATTGGCTAAACTCATAGCTATGTGAAAATAAGTGTATGTAACAGTTCATTTTTGGAGCTGAGCTGAATGAGAGAGAGAGAGGAAGAGAGATGCAGAGCGTGTGCAGAGCAGGGGGACGTGCAGTATTAAGAACTGCTGCTTTAGAACATTGATTTTGAAACTTGTGAATCCATTAGAATCGTTAGAAGACAGAATCGCGATTCATATATGAATAGATTTTTACGTGCACCCCTAGTTTTCTCTTCCTCTTCTCTAAAGCAGTGCGGCATGGCCTCGCCCCCTTTGCTGCCTTTTCCCGAGGGCGGGGTTTATCTGGGTTTGTGATGTCACGAACCCGGGAAGTAACTTCTTGTGGTCCCTACCAGCCGTTTTTGTAGGCATTAAACTGCCAGAATTTTAAAAGACGATATCTCCGTTTGCATTGATCTTTCAGCTTCGTAACTTTGCAGATATTGTTTATGCTCAAACAGCAACATTACACACTAACTAAAGTTAAAAAATTTGAAATCGCAATGAACCACCCCTTTAATGTTGAATTATGGCATCTCGGTGGTTTATCAAAGAACATTACATCACAGATGTGTTGCAGCAGTCTGTCAATCCAAAAACTTGCAGACTAAAATGCCATAAACCACAAACACAAAGTTGTATGTGAAAATGTCAGGGCATGGCTAGATATGACAGCAGTTGTTACAGCAGATTCAGCCTGGAACATATCTCTCAAAATGGTTTGTAATTTGAGTTTGTGCTATCAAGGGTTAATCATATCTTAGCTTTGGTTAAAATAAAGATTTTTGAGTCTCATTTGCTTAAATGTATTCTGACCATCACAACAGTCATGTGATGGTATTTGTCATTGCATTTGGTTTCCTTTAGGGCAGTTCAAGTGCAAAATACTAGATTAGATCACTGACTAAGACAGATCTGCAATAGGTTTCCATCTGTACTGTTCTAACCTTATTATTGCAAAGCCTAAGGGACAGTTTTATATCAGTGTTTGTGGCACGGCCTAAGCTCCAGATCTGTGTCATTGTGTGTGTGTGTGTGTCTGTGGTGGGGGGATGGACGGGGTGTTTGTTTGTGCTCATTTTGTGTTGGCATGATTACTGTGCCATTTGTGTGACTGTGAATGTTTAATAGGTCAGATCAGGAGTATTAAACTGAAGTGGACAACATTGGTGTGTCTGTGTGAGATTTTATTTACTTTATATGTATATACTTAATAATGTTTAATACTTAACCATTTCAGAAAACTCTTTCCATTTGAGTTTTTATAGGCCTTATTCCCACTGTTTTTGACCAATTCAATATGACTATAAAAATCAATTTTATTTTGATTTATTATAAAATTAAAATTTTAAACAAAATAAGAACTATATTGTAATAATTTGCAATAAAACTGTAAAATACATACTTTAAAATAAGTAATACAAATAATTTTATTTTACTGTAAAATTGCAATACTAATATTTGTCCAAATATCTTAATTTTCAAACAGTTTACGGTCAAGCTTTTTTGACATGTTGCATCACATGAAAATATGCAAAAATGTTAATTTGAGCTGCCTTTTGATATATAAAAAGTGCTGCAAAATAATAAAATGCATGTTGTTGTTATTATTATTATTACTACTACTAGTAGTATTATTTTATTAATTATTTTATTATTAATAATTTTTGTTTATCATTTTGTTTGTTAGTTTTGTTGTTGTTTTTTTTCCTTAACACAATTTTCTTGGATCAAAATATCCTATATCTCAGTATAACTTCTTTCTCCAAAGGCACTGGAGACATAGTGACAGTAATGATCACGGAGTCCTTTGGAAAGGAGATTCTGGGTTTTCTGGAGAAGAACCAGACTGTGTTTGTATCCGTGATGGTGGGGTCACGAGGACTGCCCAAGAACATCAACCGTGGCTCCTTGGTGTTTGTCTCCATCTCCTTTATCGTACTGATGATTATCTCCTCTGCTTGGCTGATCTTCTACTTCATCCAGAAGATCAGAGACACCAGCGCTCGGGACCGCAGTCAGGTCTTACATAACATACAGTACAGTACACTGAAATACCAGCCTAGCACTTCTGCTTCAGTATTCTTCTGCGGCTCTTTTGAACAAAGCACACAGTTCCCTTTCAGTCGGTCACTACGAGTCACGTCGTGACCGACGAATTGGAATTGGGATATCGCTTCGATAGACCAATCTACTTCGAGTGTAAACTAAACGAGCCAATGCACATTGGCATTCAATTATTGCATCCAGCTGCCGCTGATCACAGCGTGAGTATAATAAGGCAGCAGGTGCAATGCATACCAGCTTTTCGCTTCGGAGCCGAGCGACAACATCGTTCTGCTCTGTTTATTTCGAGAACTACGAGTTCAGCACGCTCTCGGAAGCTTTCTGTGTTGGCGGGACGGCGCTTCAGCGGTGGTCGTTCCAGTGTCGAGTGGGTTGCGCACTTCAGGCTGCACTACCCCCTGTCGTGTTGCAAAGCGGCCATCTCCCCTGTGCGCCTCAGCACTAAAAGAGCATTTCCTAAAAAGAGCAAATTTCTCTAAAAGAGCTACACGGGTGCGTCTTTATAAAGACGACGGATCGTCCTTATAAGGATGCCGTTTCACCCGTGCGTTTCTGGGTGCGGTCGTTACCTGGCACCGGGTGATGGTCACGATTGCTGCCTCACGTGTCTGGGCATTAAGCAAGCTGAGGTGGCCTTCATGGATGAGTCATGCTCTCATTGCGGGAAGATGACCATCTCTGAGCTGCGAACCAGGCTCCGCTACTCGCAAGGGGTCGGAGTCCCGTTGCCGCTGCCGCGATCTGGGGCTCGTTCTGGCGGAAGGCAGACGAGAACCACTTCCAGCAGTAGCGCGGGCGGACAGGGTGTGCCCTGCCCATTCAGGCTGTGAGCTCGCTCAACTAGAAGTGTTGCATCCTCCTAGGCGTTGGCTCGTGGCGCCTCGCTGACAGATATTTGTAGGGCTGCGGGCTGGGCGACCCCCAACACGTTCGCTAGATTCTATATTCTATAGCCTCCGTGTGGAGCCGGTATCCTCCTGTGTTCTCACCTCAAACGGGTAGTGGCGCCGAGAGGCCCCGGTTAGTGTCGGCTTGCTAAAACTGCTCCAGAGTGTCCTACAGTAGACCCTGTTGAGATCCTCCGTCACCCTCGGCAGCGGATGCGGCGGAACGTCCGGTGCCGGGCCTTCACGATGAATCCGTGGGCACCGTGGAAGGCTGGGTTCCATATTGAGACCTAAGCGGTTCTCGTATGTGTATAGCCCACGGTATAGCCATAGAGCCCGTGTTTCCCCGGCAGACTTCTGCCTTTCCAAGAGGGTTACAATCACCTCCATTTCTCCATATACACCTAAACGGATGCTGTATGTGTATTTGCTTCCGAAACCTCCTTCGGGAAGGTTGGGGCTTCCGCAGCGTCCCTGTTCCAAGTGGAGCGGGTACGTTTTCCCAGTGTTATCCAGTCTCACTTAGTAAGGTAGTGCTTTGAAAAATGGTGAGTGGAACTACTTGTCCCGAGCCCCGGCCTACACCAGATAGGGGCGCAGGCGGCACGCACAGGGCACTGGAAGGGGCAGCACCGTGGCGCTTTGGTAGGGATCCCAATTCGTCGGTCACGACGTGACTCGTAGTGACCGACTGAAAGGGAACGTCTCGGTTACGTATGGTAACCCTCGTTCCCTGAAGGAGGGAACGGAGACGTCACGTCCCGTCGCCACGGTTGCTGTACCACTGCTGAGCGGCCGGGTCGCCGGCTCGGCTCCTCAGCGAAAACCTGGTATGCATTGCACCTGCTGCCTTATTATACTCACGCTGTGATCAGCGGCAGCTGGATGCAATAATTGCATGCCAATGTGCATTGGCTCGTTTAGTTTACACTCGAAGTAGATTGGTCTATCGAAGCGATATCCCAATTCCAATTCGTCGGTCACGACGTGACGTCTCCGTTCCCTCCTTCAGGGAACGAGGGTTACCATACGTAACCGAGACGATACACTCTCATCCTCAAGCTTGCATCTGAACGAAAAATCTGGCAAGGTTTTTAAAGACCTCTCTGATATTAACCAGGCTTATCTGACCTTCAAGAACTTCCTGTGTGTTCAAAGATAGTAGTAAATAGTGTTGGGTTCGAGTCCACCTAAGTCGAGTCCAAGTCGAGTCCGAGTCTTTAACCAATCGAGTCAGAGACAAGTCCGAGTCCAAAATGTGCCGAGTCGGACTCAAGTCCGAGTCCAACGAAACTCTATTATTTATTAGTATCTTAACATTGTTTTAACCTTTACAACTAGAAAAACGCAATGTCCATTTAAATGTAACAAAAGCAAACCTCTATTGCATCTTGCCATTTTGATTTTTGATTAATAATTAGTAGTGGTCGACTGATATATCGCCAAGGCCGATATTTGGCATTTTTCAAATATCGGCATTGGCCGATAAGTTTTTCTGCCTGGCCGATGTGTTCGAGGCGATTTTTTTGTTTGACGGCACGCCAGACTTTTATTTTGACGGCGCATTTATTTTTAATATAATTAATTTTCAAATTATTTCAAGTTTCTCAAACATAAAATAAATAAAACTTATAATAAAAAAATATATATATACTTGTATATATCGGCTTTATATCGGCCATCGGCCACCCTGCTCTCTAAGATATCGGCATTGGCTGTCAAAAAACCAATATCGGTCGACCACTAATAATTAGTGTCCTGCTTTGCTTAGCAAACTTAGTCATGTAACAGAAGTTATGGCTGAATTGATTTATGTATTGTGACATATCAGAGTGAAGCAGGTTTTAGAATGTGAAAAATTAAAGGGCGAGACTTGACTTTATTAATCGTTAAAGTAAATGTATAAATTCAAGGGTGGGGGTAAAGGAATCGGTATCTTGGTGAATGGGACCTTAAGAGCAGAAAATTCACCTTTTATCTCAATAAAAAAAACAGCTTTATATAATTTTTTATGATTTTGAATGAAATATGAATTTTGAATAATCAAAATGAGTTTGTGTATGCTTATTCTATGCATCAGTGTTTGAACCATTAAAGAAGAAACTGCATTTTAATTTCTGGGTTAAAAAAGAAAAGAAAAATGAATGCACGCCAAAGTACACGGACCCCGTAGACAGGGCATTTAGAATTTTTTCTTGGATGAAAATGAGGCTGTGAGGGATAAACCTTCTGCTTGAAGTACTAAGTGACTAATAAGTCACAGCTAACTTACACCTGTTGTATTTTTGATTTTTGAATGAGTTACATTAATTACAATAAATTACATTATGTAAGGAATAATTGATGATGGGCCGTTGAACGTTGAATTAATAATGCACGCCCAAGGTGATTTTGGACCCATAAAAACTATTGCCGCAAAGATGTTAGAAAAATGAGTTTTCTTTGAAGCAAAAAACTGCCACTAATACAAAAGCAAAAAATAAACTAATGTAATAAAACATTCTCAAGCTTACTGAAAGCAAGTAAACACTCCAAGTATTACTTACAAGC